CAGCACAAACCTAATAATAAATATAATTGTTGAGTGTCAACGTTCTATATCCATTGTTTCGCTATAGCTTTTAGGTGTAATTTTGTAATTGGGGTTGTTAGTCATTTAAATAAGTTACTTTTACTTTATTTTGTTTACTTTGCAAACAATTAGTTTATTCTTAGGTACCTTTTCCATTGTATATTTGTATATTGATTTTTAATGATAGGTGTGTCATTAGGGGTTTATCCCAACATAATTGTATTTCAAATAGTTCGTATTCCTTATCTTTATTTTGTAGTCATAAAATCTATTACTATTTTCGTTAGAGTACAATGGTCGATACAATTGATCAATACCAAGAATTGTTGCACGCTGGACACTTGCACGTACACCGATCTCTCCCTTTCTCTTCTTATCAAACCGCACCTCTTATACCCCACTTGCTTATCTTGGACCAACCACCCTGTTTCTTCTATTCGTAATCCAATTAATGTTTCCAAACTTTACTAACACCACCTACTCTGCCTCTTCACACAATTCTTGTTAATATCCTAAAATAGGATAAAAGCCAAATCATCCTATTCATCAAGAGAATAAGTGACAACCACAGAGAAGTAACAATCAAGTAACAATCAAGTGACAATCACCAGCGACAATCACAAGTGTGACAATCAGCAGAACTAGTCAAACATATTACAAGCCGTTTCGTAAAATAATAGTTAGGTAATATTAATATTTTTTAGCGTTACGTTTTTAGTAAAGCACATTAAAAAACTAACGTGAGTTTTAATCATAAAACAAGTTCGTCAAACCAGGCGTCAACAGAGGTTATGAATTGATTTTTCCATGGCTTCCTTTAAAAATGCATTACTCTGATAGGTAGTTTCTTCTATTTGCTCTTCATCAGAATCGGTTTCCAAATAAAAATTTCCGAATATTCTAGTCAATATTTTTCCCGATAATTAAATAACCTTGTACGCCATCTTCTTGGAAAAATCTTTGAAATCAGTGAGTTTTATTTGACCACATGTGAGCTTTTATTTTAATAAGACGGTGATGGATTATAGTAATCTCTCTAGAGCTGCTTTCCGTTAAATGATCTAACTAACAAAAGCGTTCTTTTTTGCTGCTGACTATTAGATGAATGTATAGTAGTAGTGGGTCTGCATGTATCTGATTCTGTAAAATAACTATCATTATTCGGAAACAAAAGACATCCTTGACACGGTTTTAAGAAACGGTGCTAGAAAGTTAAAGATGTCGTGCATTAGGTGTCTACAACAAAAACATCATTAATTTTTTGTTTCCCCTATAAACTTTATGGCATTAAGTCGGTATGTACAGGTAAGACAAAATTTCCAGCATACATAGAATTTACACATTTCTTTGTCCGCATTTTTTCTTTTTGTGTCTCACGACCGAAAATGTATAATTTGGTTTAATACATTTTTTAAACCACGTCTATTTAGAAATATCACCTGCTTCCCTGAAAACTGTCCTAAGCTAACGAACCCTATTTGATAAAATTTCATCCAGAATAATAAACAATCACAGACTGTTAATGGAATATGTGTATCCTCATCATTCGCCAGTAACATCACATTTCGAACGCTTCTAAACTTTTCTTTTCCGCTGCGCCTACCGTCTCTGTTTCGCATCCGTACAGTGTCGCGTTCCAAACATACACCTTATATTAAGTGTTAAATCGAGTATCCTAACCTAAAATTTCAAACACAAAAAATGTTTTGTTCCATGAAAACAATATACCGAAGCGCTTTAAATATTTTGACTCATAAATTCACCAAAAATAATTTTTCGTTTAGTCTGTTGCGTATTTGGTCTTAGTCTTATTAGTATAAACACAATCATGGTCTTGTTATTGGTCTTGCATTTTTGCAATGCTAACCAATTTTTTATACTTATCGATAAAACGACTTAGTAGTTATTATTGCATCGGTGATGTTCCGAACAGAAATAGGACTTTTTCTGGAGTTAATATGGAAATGATCTGCAACAAGTAGGCTAGTGGTGATTGCTATAAATAGCCAATATTGAAGCAATATTTTGCAAATTCACATTCAAAATCGTATGATGAAACAATTGTTGTGTTTTGCATTAAAAAGTTTTTTGAAATTATGATATGAAGTTTCAACAATTATTAATTTCTTTAAATTAACTTATTTTGTTTTGTTTCAGGCTGTTAAACTCGAAAGCGTTCATCCTAATCGTACTCGTTATTTAGTAGTCGTGTCGCGTTTTGGTCGCAGGGCCGAAGAGTCCTGTCTTTTGGGAATCGATTGTAATGAGAAGACGACCGTTGGATTGGTACTAAGAGTTCTAGCAGACACCGCTATCACGCTGGACGGAGATGGGTAAGTGTTGTATATTACTCTCATATTGCACTATAAGTAACGGAATTGAAATTCTGATATTTGGATTAGTATCTATTTGCATTATTGATTGGTGGTGCTATAGCATAAAAAGACAATACTATACAATAAACAGTAATAAATAAGAAACTACGAAATTCTATGAATCACAATAAACAGTTTGCTGGGATATGATAACGGTTCTGCAAAAGAATATGAAATATTCAAGACGATGATGATGATGATTCGATGATGAATGTCAGAATTTTGTGATTAAACTTTATCAATTTCTTGCCGAAATTTTGTTCTCGATCACACTAGACATCTTTAGGGCTTTTTATAGCTTTCAGTAAATCTAGGCCCCTTTCTGGTGTATTTCTATGATTTTTATAATCACCGAAGGATATTAGAAATTGTTTATTTTTAATATTAAAAAGTTTATTTCACAATATATTGAAACAATCGTACCTATGAGAAAGCTTTTTCCTTGATTAAGGTTAATCTATTTTTAAATTAATAAAATGATAATACATACTTTAAATTAATTAAAACACTTTTTACTTTTCTGAACGTATTTGTAAAATGCAAAATACATTTTTGCCATTTAAAGTTTTGC